AAAATTCATGCAAGAAATATTAATTGGTAATTCTTACTCTTTGGTGCAAAAAAATTTACTTCCCGATGCAGTCCCGCTGTTGTCTCTCCTTCCTATCACAACTGTCGAAGAATGCGTGGGGTATGACGCTAAAATTGGTGAGTTTAATATAACACTGAGTCATGAAAAGTTATGGAACACATCTGTGATGCTGCTGTCTCCTCAGCAGCGATTGGTACCCTACCGAAGTGATTTATGGACACGATTATGGGACAATCTTGGAAAACGAAGCGAAAGCAAGCCCAGATTTAAATTCAGCCAGATAACTGAAAAATTATTGGTGTCTTTGGCGTGTTATCAGCCTGAAGTACTGTCCAGATCCAGTACGCCAATGTCACCAAGTGGGGGATTAGTTTTAGCTACTGGATCTTTCGGTGACTTGATGAGCAATCGCAGTAACAAAATTCTGGACTCTGCGCTACCGTTTATAGAAGTGGAAAATTGCACTGCCTCACGACAGGAGCATATTGTAGCGGTTAACCTACGGGAATTATCTATGTATCTGTTGAAACATGCTACTAATGCTCCGGCAACTTCCTATGTGGCCTGTTCACCTCTTCAAGTTCACGCGATGGCTACTAGACACATTGCGGCTCAGCTAGAAAGCTCAAGGTCACTTTGTCAGATGCTTTGTCGGGCAGCTAATGTTGATCCGCGGCTAGAACAAGAACGTGGCTTTGTTCTTATAGATCAATTAGATGAAATTAGAAGAAATTTACTTTTTACTCTACTAGAGCGCTATCGTTATGCTATTGAAATAATAGCGTTTCCTGTACCACAGGGATTTTCATCATTTTTTACATATCTAGGATATCGTAGTCTTAAGTATCCAATGTTTTTACACTCCTGTATGAACTCTTTATCTTGACTTGGACACCAACATTCAGTTTTTGACTTCCAATAGCAGGGCGGACATCGCAGACATTGGATCTATTCTTATCGTAATCTTCTTGTATATTAAAATTAAATTGGTCTGTGCACTCAGAATTTAAATTATCCGTTATACTTCCAGAGATTTGATCCAGCCGTAACTTGGCAATATTTAAATTCATTGTTTCAGTACCTAGTTGATCTACATCCATTGAAGGAGCATCTTTCATGCTTGAGGATTTTGATTGCTCAATAAATTTATGAGGCACAACATTATTCCTTATCCGTTTGTTACCACCAACCATTGTCCATTCCAACCAATTTTCCAAATCCACTTTAAGCTAAAATGAATAAAATTCATCATCAATTCATGAAATGAGTTGAAAATCACAATTTTAGGTTATAATTTTATGTAATTATTATAAGAAATTTTTAATAAATACTTACGTCAAAATGATCTTCACAACAATAAAGCCGAGTTGATGATGAATAATGAGTTTTATTCCTGCATGCATCTAACCAATTTTTCCGTTTAACAGAATTTGATGGAACATTAATAAAAATTTTTTCTGGTGTCGATTTACCAGTATTTCTACACGTTGGAACTATACACCAACAAAAATCGTTTTTTGACGACATTTCGAGTAATTGAATACTTTTATTTTATTATAAACAACACTACCAGATCTTTTTTTAATCAAGTACAATTCAGCACAACAACTGTTTACACCTGCCACGTGCTTACAAGAGCAATTGGCGCTTAAAATTTCAAATGAAATAAGCATCGTGACGTCACATACACGAGATGGAGCTACCTATTCATTTAAATATCAGCTTTTTTTATTTATTTAATTATTTAAATTTTTAAGAACAAAATCGAAAATTTTTTTTTTCAAAAATTTTAAAAAATTATATAGAATGTAAAAATATCTAAAGTTAATGAATACCAAAATCATGCAAATACCCAATTCAAAACTAGCTCGTAAATGTGATGTCTGCAAGGTAAGTACAAAAGTTCCGTTTGTAACATTTGCTCCAAAATAATCGCCGCTCCACTTCGACTTCCCAGATTTGAGGGAGTTGTATCGCAACAAACAGCTTTGATATTATCAGTTAATCCCCATTCTTGAACCACATTGAAAATTGCTTGTGCCTGTGTAATTCCTTTCCCATCTGGTAACGCTGTTACGTTTAATATTTTTTCTATGGTATTACTTCTAACTATGATTGGGACTCGATCGACCTTTTTGCAAGAAAAACCATTAGGTATCAACTTTCCATCACAATGCACTACCGCCGGACCAACTTCAATCTCGCCAAATTCTCGTTTTATTCGTTCAGCAGCTTCTTTTCTAAATTTCGATCGGTATTCATTGAATGACGTTTTGTTCAAAATTAAAGCACTAGTATTAACTCCCAGGGCTTCTGATATAACTGATATTAGTCGAACAGAATTTCTATAAGAAATATTGCAAATATCTAAGGCAGCCACAACGTCTTCAGTAAAAATATTAATAGTTCCTCTCTCATTTTTAGCTTCATAATTTCGTCCTTGAACTTCAAACATTGACAGCGTGCTTTGATACGAAGTAGTTGTAGTTGTCTCACCACTTAAAGCTTGCTCACCACTCAAAGGCGGCTCACTAGTACTTTTAGAGCTTGATGGTAAAGTCACATCTAAAGAGTTAATAAGAAAATTATCATTCCAAGTTTATCAAATCATACAATATTTCTTACTTTAAACAAATACTTCTATTAACTACCTGAATTTGAACGATATTCATCATCGGTTATCAAATTAACATTATTTTCATTTCCGGATATATTTTCATCTGACGTTTGAGTCGTATTGGTATGATCTTGCTCGAATATCTGTTTTTCTGAAATTAATAAAGTATTTCAATATCCAATATTTAAACTACATCTGAATTAGTATGCTCGTTGAATACTCTTACTTACCTAATAACTGACGGCGAGTATTACCAATTTCTTTGCACACGCGTAAATGATATTTTCTATCTGTTCTTTGGTCAAATAAAAACTTTAACGCTTCACTATTAGCTATATCTTGAACGTTTCCGTGTGCGATGTCAAATAATGTTTCAAGAAACTCAGAAAACTCGCGTTCTACTGTTGGATTTGGATTTTTTTGTAAGTTTCTATACTTATCATACAGTTTTTCGACTTTTTTTACACATCTTGAAACAATTTGTATTTTAATTCCAGCCCAAAATTTAGTAACTTCTCCAATAACAAATTGATAACTTGCTGTAAGTGTTTTTTTTGCTTCTCTTGTTTGATAAAATAACAATTGTAGTACTTGTTTGTTAGTTGGTAATTTATTACCGCTGATTGTTTCGGTTGGTTCTCCCAAAAGAAACATTGGATTTCTCAAGCTCACAGAAGTATTCATTTTTTTTTTGGAAAATTATATTAAACAGTATTTTTGCTGAATGACTTAACACTAATAAAATTTATCAAACAAACATTTCACCGAGAGGTTATAGACTCAAAGGATATGAAGTTCTCTCACGTTACTCACAGATGGCGTTAAATTATAAAACGAATAAATTTAAAACGTGATTGCTTTTAGTTTTTTCGTTTAATTGCCTTAAATTCACAAATTTTAAAAAAGAAAATTATTTAAACACTTAAATTTATGTAGAATCACGTTTATATACGACCTATTAGAGTTACTTTATAATTTTATTGCAAACAAAAAGCGATAGTAAATAAAAAATAGGAACATGATGAATGTAACTATGAATACAAGTTTATCGTTGAATAACTTTTAAACCGTAAATTTTATCGCAAAAAGCATTCAAATCTTTTTTGAAGAGCGTTAAATTTCCTACAAAAAACAGCTGTCAAAGTATTTTTAGCTACATTGGTTTCGGTGGAAAAAAATTAACTGCAAAAAGTGCAAAAATCCCATGTTATTTAAATGGGAAATGTATTATGATTCAGGCACGGTTTAATGTGAATATTAAGGGCTGGTTTGGGTCGGATATTTTTTTTTAGGTCATAATCTAAAAATTTGAGGGGCGTTCGCAGAAAAAAATCCAATTTCGGAAATAACGGACACCCTAATATACATATATATACGGTATAATGCGGCTTGTCCCGAGGATAGCGTCTCTAATTCATAGTGGATATTCTCCAAAGTCAACATACTTTATCTTTAGACGAATACCAAAGTCAAGTTTAAAGATGAGCTTAATCGGTCAAATAGTTCAGAAATTACAAGGTTTTTGAATTTTCAAAATTATAAAGATCCATATTTTGGCAGTTTCTTCCGCGGATAACTTCTGAATGAAATAACTTATTGAATTTTTGTAAATTGCATTTAAAATCCCACTGAACGAGCTTTTATTATTATATCATTTCATTCTCTTAGACTGAAAATAACCTATTCGTCTATAGTAGGGTGTGCCAAAAATTCAATTTCCGTAAAGAACCATTTAAAATTGGATTTTGAGTACTGCTTTTAACAGGAGCTGTGTTTAGGCATTTCCTGAGCTCAAAGAGCTTAAAAGCATAGAACAGTTAACTCTTTGAGCTTGGACATCTCAAAAACGTCATAAATGCAATTTTAAGTGCTTAGGTATGGAATCAGCGGGAAGTTACAGGGATGGCCTTTAGGGTTGACCGTTTTCTTAATTTTTTTTTAAGCGGACAACATTGTAAAAAATTATTCACAAGTTCCAAATTGGTTATTCTTAGTGAACTCAGCTTCCTTTTCTGATTACCCATAACGAAAAAGTGAATTTACCGTGATGAACCAGTTCAAAGCGACTGGATTTCAAGCTAAATGTCAGTTACAACGCTTTGAGTTTATTTTCACAAAATTGTATTTATCGTGTCTGCAGTCAGTACATGTAGGATGAAAGTCTTGCTCAACGTCATCTGATATTCACCGTCGAATCACTAAATATAAATGAATGTTTAACCTTCAAATATCCAATAATTTATTAAAAATTACCATATTACAATCGTGATAACATAACTGGTGAGGAAAATACTTAAATTAATTTCATATATTATTAGTATTTGGTACATGTTTATTATAATTTATAAAAGTTAGTAGGATGTTACATCTGATTATGTTCTAATTTATATACATCATGGTATGCATTTCGTATGAGCGCATAAGGGAAACAACTTTCGAGAAGATCCATCGTTAAAAATGGTGACTCCTGAACGATTTCATCAAGTAACAAATAAATAGACTCCCTGTTTTTTATAGTTTCTTTATCGACTTCTTGACCGAGTCTGAGTAAACTGGATGAAGCCAACGCTAGAAATTCTTTCATTCTATCTTCAATATCATTTTGACCACATATTGTAAAAAGTGCACCAAATATATTGTTAATAGCGGTAGCAATGCAATGTATATTATTTGAATGTCCTTCTAACGATGCACGATAAAATGAATTTTCATTACGAGCTAGTTTTGGAATAGATACCGCCACAAAAACCATTAAAAGACAAACTAGTAAGTGCTCATCTTCATCTACTTCTGTTTTTTGGATCTTAAGTGCATTGGTGAGTGTCGGATCGACTTTACACATTAAGCCGGCAGCTGAAGTCATTTCAGAAACTAAACGCATCGGATCGCCTGATGGTAAATGATGTCTAAAATCTAGGATTGAACTCAAGAGAAATGGTATACGTTCTTCTAAAACATCAACCAAAGCAGCTTGTGCGAGCTGTCTAAAACTAAGAATGACACCAATTATTGTAACTCGTTGAAGAACATTTTCAACATGTTGTAGCCGTTTGAATTGCTCCTTCATAATTTCAGGCTTGTCAAAATTAGTTCTTAAAGCTATAAGAACTTCTTTATTACTAGCAACAAGTTTTTTTAGTTCTTGCACTTGACTAGAAATATGCCACATGAGTGTTTCATTGAGCATTTTCATCCCATATGGACCAATAAGCTCGGTCAAAGCTCTTAACTCATTTATATCTGAAAATTCTTCTGCGTTGAATGGTATTGAGCCTTCTACTGACAAGCTTACGAAGGCTCGTTGATTAGATGAATAACATATATTTCCAGCACTAACCCGCCTTAATAAAACTTCAGAATACCATTGTGTATACAGGGCAGCGATAGTTTTATCACCGTGACTGTCTAATGCTTGAGTTTGTTGAAGGAGTGCGTTATTAAAGACTCTAGTTATATCAATATGAACATAATTTTCAACTGTTTGAAGTACGTTCATATATGCTCGAACACTCACAAACAGTTCAGATGGTTTTGCTATTTCATTAGCGTCTGGATTAAACATAACCATTCCAACTAGAGCTCTAGAAAATCTTGTTTCAAGATGTTGATTCATATACTCTCTTGGTGCAAATGTGTATTCCCAAACATTGATTGTAGGACAAAAATTGATTGCGTAACAAAGTTCAGTCAGTGCCATATGCAATTTATCCATGGTCGTAAGTTCTTCTCGAGTTTTTCTGTAACTTTCTAATCCGGGTTTGTGAATTTCATAAATATTTTTTTTACTTTTGTCTTTTTTTTTACGATTCACAACTTGTGAAATCAACTGAGCACAGTGTTTCGGTAAGAGTTTGTCACTCATATTACATTGTTCATCACAAATAGTGGTAATGATATTTTTAGCTTCTTTTGCCATTTCGTCAAGAAACATATTAACTACTGAAAGACTTCGCTCTCGAATATGATGACGTTCTTCAGGACACAGCTCATGAGTACAACTTTGGAAATGACTACAAATAAGTGGAAAAGCAACGATATATCTATTTTGAGCTGGGAATTCGAGACACATGTGGAACTGATCTTCAAAAATTTTACTGTAGAAGCAAAAAATGGAAAGATCTGAAGTTTCAATAAGCATTTCATCAAGATTATCAATCATTTTTGTATGAAAAATTATGGCATCCATAAAAGATGCTAACTCACGATTATCTGCAAGATTTATATTACACTTATTAACGGACATATATGCTTGCAATCTAATCCAATCAAGTCTTAATGGACGAAAATCGAATAAATCATTATCTTCAACTTGTTTTATCGATACATTAGCTATCAACGAACACAAATCACTTAGAATAGCTCCTTCTTCTTCTGGACAAATTGGCAGATTTTGAATAATTTGATGAAGTGCGGGAGCATCAAAAGTAGCTAAAAACTGAACATAATAACGTTGGAGAACTTGAGAATATTTTCGGACGAGAGCTCGTAACTCTTCACAATGAAACAGAAGTTCTGGAAGTTGTCTGTCTACTAAATCTTCGTTTCCACGCCCTTTTGCTTTCCCTTGATTCGGTGGGTTATCTCCATGTCTTAAAACCCATAAAATTTCATCTCTTGCATGAGATAATCCCATGAATACTAATAATGCTTTAGGACCTAAAAGGCCTGGTTGATCGGTCAATATTAACCCTAATTCTTTTAGAGCAGTCCTTAGAAATTTTCGCCTTTCTCTGTGCCGGTAGCTGGATTTTTGAATCGCCTGGTTATAACATTCTTTTATTTCTGAAATCCTTTTGCCATAACCTTTAATTGTTTCAAAAAATAACTGAATATATTGATGAATATATATAACTTCATCGCGAAACAGTGCTAAGACCCATCTAGATTCAAGAGCAGTAACCCACAATTTATTTTGTTGCTCTTGATTTAAAACTGAATGACACAATGTAAAGCCTAGTATAATCCACTTTTCGATTTTATCGAGGCTTAATGTTTCACAAGACATCATATCAGTAGCTGCAGGCTTTAATATTTGCACTGGACTTCCGATTAAGCTTAATTTTTGATCTGCTCTCCAATTGTCAGCAGACAAATTTCTACTTGGATAAATGATCCAAAGCGAGTTTAAAGCATTTATTAATAATTTTGAATGCGGAATGAATTCTTCAGAGAGTTTTTTAAGCGGTGCATCATAATCCATAATCATCTGACCTAATCTTGGAAAACTATGATCTGATTGATTATGAACCATTTCATGAGCTGCATTAAAAAGACCTAATACTGCTTTGCGATCTTCTACTTTAGAAAGTAAAATCATAAGAGTTGTGTAAATGACCGTTAAATCTAAATATGCTTTTGTTAGGTCAAAATTAAGAGTGATATCCATGATTACACCACAGGCATCCATCGTTGTTAATAATTCACTAACATTATCTTTGAAATCTAACAAATCAACAAATGTGTAATAATATAAGGACAATGATTTTATGATTTCATTTCTTAAATTTGTGATAGTTTGAAGTCCTTTAATATCAATGTTCGGAAATTTTCGGACGATTAATTTAATAGATGATTCGAGTGTTTTATCAGATAAAAAAGCTGGTTTAGATTTAGCATCACCACAAGCTTTTTTAATATTATAAATACGAGTTAGCATTCCCACACCTCGGTCATTGAGAATAATAAGTTTTTCGGCTAATTTTTGTTGGCTTGGAAGAACTGAACGAGCCATATTTTGTATTTTTTAGTGTTTGAATTTATGTTTGTAATATTTTAATATTAATAATAACGGTAGTAGTTACACCAAAGCCTTTATAGGAAGGGGGCTTCTTCCAATATTATTATAGTTCACTTTTGACGTTCACACAATACTTGAAGCTGAAAATAAAAAAAATTAATCAATGTAATGAGAAATTAAACTCTATATAATAAAACATACATACTTAGTCACTATTGTGAATTGTGAAGTAATAAAAAATGGTTGAATCAAAAACTATTAAATATTTAACTTAATTTTGGATCAGAATGATTGCAAGTACAAAATACATAAATATAGCTCTTATTATAGACACCGCACATAAATCCAGAGTAAAATTATGAAAGAAAACTAATTTCATTAGAAATAATACGAAATTTCACATATATTCACAGATAGAAATCAAGCATGATAATAAAAGCGCTGCCTACCGACGAAACGTTCAGACATTGTAGTCATGTGTGATGTCTCTAAATGCATCCAGCAGGTAACACTACCTGGCAGCAAAGCGCGAATTTAAATGTAATTTAGATTATCTTAAATATTTCATTAGTTTATAATTTATGTAAATAGTGAAATCTCCCAAATTAGAAAGTTTAAGTTTTATGTAGAATATCTTTATATATATATATATATATATATATATATATATATATATATATA